TGGATGCCAGGGTGGAAGTTAGGGAACCTTGGGTCTAACCCGTACCCCCGTTAGTTGTGTGAACACGGGAGGTTACCCGGTCTCTAAGCCCCGTTTCCATCTGAGGTCAGATCAGACCCAACACTCCATAAGAACCACTTGGCGCAAACAGGCTTGGAGAGCAGAACTGTCGTAAAGCAAAATTCCCAAGGTGTCATCTGGGGAAAGTTCCCTTGTCAGAACTTTCCACACAACAAAAGGATCTGTGTTTGGAAAAGATGTTAAGTGCGGTCCCCCGCTCACGTATTCACGTTACACGTCAGCAGAGTAAAGGATCTGGGTTCTTGTCATATCGACCATCTTTTGTTTCTGCTTAACCCAGAATTTTCTAAACTCACTACCCCCAGGACTCACCTTGTGGAATAGCCTCTACTTAAACCCCTCTGAGCTAGAGTGCCACAGGACATGATTCTGAACATGCCAATTAAGAGGCAAAGGCACTGCTAATTTCAAGGAAGAAAAGCAGGTTGTTACATTGGCCCTTGCCTTATCATACACGGACTTACTGTTTTAGAACTACGCTTGCACCCGACTACGTCGGAGCTCGGACTGGTGCAGTAGCTGCACACAGAATCGGCTGGTAGTTGGGGAGGAGGTGGACTTGAACACAAGCTGCACCACCTGATTCTAGAAAGAGCAGGGTGGGGCTGATCTTCTGGTGTGCAGTGTATTAAATACTACCTTTCAGGCTGAGCCTGAAAAGCCCTCTATTAAATGTGGCAGAGCAGACAGCTGCCTGCGGGAGGCCGTGTTCTGGAAGCCACGCACCAGCTGCTGCTGCCGCTGCCTCACATTCCCCTGCTTTCCGGTGCCCGGGAAACCTGGACACAAGCTTGTCTCTGCTTCTGGGTGTGCAGAGCCCATGCCTCCTCTTTCCCCTGGCACCAGAGTATCCTCCCCGGGAATGTGCACATCGTGGCTGGCTTCTGTCTTAGGGCTAAGAGGCAGGTTGTAGGGCCTGGGAGCGGTTGAGCTTGAAGACAGAGACTCTCCTGCTGGGGCGTAAGATGTGCTGGTTGCTACTTGTCTCCCTTGCCTCGTGGCTCGTAGTTCTTTGTCTCCTGGCTGTGATACCTTTTCTCTCCATCTTAATCCATTTGTCCTTCAAGAATCAGTCAGGGATCCGTCTGTGTGTCCATTCATCCATCTGGCCATCCATCCATCCATCCGGCCAGGTTGTGTCCAATACTGGAGATGCAACACTGAAGAAAACAGGTGAAATCTCTCCCCTGGTGAAGCTACCAGTCTTGTAAGGACATTTGCAGGGCACAGCTATAGGTGGCCCGTCCACCTACATCAGCATATATGCAGGTGTCCCCTGTGAGTTGTGTCTGCCACAGCCAGTGGGTGACCTCCACAGCTCTGAGGTCAGCGGGCAAGTCACATTTTAGACAAACGTGTGGATACATAGCGTGTAGGGGCTGTGAAACAAAGTGGGGGGGGGAGGGGGTGGGTTTTGCTGGCAGGGCACAGGTGTATGATGTTCCAAACAGGGCAGGCGGCGGGAGGGCTCTCAGGTAAGTGACACCGAACAGACACCTGAAGCAAGTGGGAGAGTGAACTTTGCCTGGGTGGTGGGATTCCAGATTACGCAGGGTCTCACTGACCTTGGCTTTCACTCTGAAGGAAGTTCGGTGCTGATGTCAGATGCAGGCAGAGGGTTCTGAGCAGCAGGCTGTGGGCTCCGTTTCTGCGCAGCAGCCTTCCCTGAGTCTTTAGTTTGGGTTAACCCTTCTTCTCTGGGCTTCTACAGCGTCCTCTGCCTTCTCCTGGTTCATGCCTTGTGCATTCTGTACGGTTCCTCAGAGGGTCCGGGTGGGATCAAGCCCCAGTTAACCCCAGTGCTACCCAGATCAGCAAACACCCTGCATTGGATTTCTGTGCCTAACCCTACTTCTTCGTGACCGTTCTTGCGGTCACCTCCCGTATACACAATCTGCCTCAATCCTTGTCTCAGGCTCTGCATTCAGGGAAGCCCATGGAGGACGCTCCCCCAGAAGTGACTACCCTGAGTTGTTAATGTCTGTTTACTCTCTGTCTCCCTACCCCAGGGCTGGGGCTTACGGACAGAGACGCTGTGATTTATTTATTCATTGCCGCATCCCCAGCTAGGAGATGGTACAAGTGGAAAGCAGCACGCGGCGAAAAGAATTCTCTGCCTCCAAGAAATGCAAAGGAACAATTATTGAGAACCAAGGGTGCTTGGTGATTTTACGCAAGGCAAATAGGGGCAATACTTTTGGGAAGCTATCTGGTCCTGTTTATCAAGGGCCGTAAACGAGGTTTATACTGTGTGACCCAGTTGTTACGCCTCTGAGGACCGAGCCTAATGCGTCAAGCCGAGGGAGACGCTTTGTGTGGAGAGACGCTCACTGGTGCTCACTGCAGCAACGTCACCCGTGCGAACACTCAAAAATAACTCCGATGCCCAACAGTAGGGAGATAGTGAAACAATTTACGGTGTATCCACAAGGTGAAATGCTTTGTGGACACTTACTTATGGCTGTGAAGAACATGTGATAACTTGGGATACCCTTATGGCAAAATGCAGAAAAGGACACAGTTGTGGTTTTGGGGTTCTAGAATTTGCTGTGTGTGTGTGTTGTTGTTGTTGTTGTTGTTGTTTTTTACTGTCTCTGGGCCTTGGCTACCAGTTCTCTGTCCCCAGACACTGAATGTTTGCCCTACCTGGACGAACTTTGTTTGTTTGGAACAACTTATCTCGACTTATTTTGTAGGGGTGAGCTGGTCTTGCCTGGCCCCCCTTAAGGGGGACAGCTCCTTAACTTTGCTCCCATGATGGGCACCCTCCCCCTTTCCTCTTGTAACCAGCCCCCAGCACCCAAGGCTTGTGAAGCCTCTGCCTCTCCCTCCGCCGTCTCCACTAGGACACATTCCCCTCTGTCCCTGGTTCCTCCTGGCTCCTCAGGGCTTGGCCCTGGGCTGGGAGCCGAGGCAAAGTGCAGCATCTGATGGGACACAGATGAGTGGATGGATGCGTGCATTACGATCGCCACCATGGGGATTCACGGAAAACGGTAGAGAGAAACATCAGAACATTGACTGGAGGTCATTCCGGGGCAGTTGTGTTTTTTTTTAATAGTCTTTCTGCTAGTTTTTAAGATGTCTCTGAATTGAGTTTTATTATACTCAATAATGATGCCTTAAGAAACTCCTGTTCTACGAATGACCCAGTTTTCTGAAACAAATGAATGGCATCAGAGAGGGAGGAGGGCGGGACAGACCCCTGCAGACTTCACAGAGCCAGATGCAGGGTGGGGGCTGTAGACGGGACCACTCAAACCGCCCACGGTCAAAGGACATTTCTGAGACAGCCAAGCAAAATTGAGCATGATCCATTAGCCGATATGAAGGAATTCATGTCAGTCGGGTCCACTGAGATGATGGTTTGTGGCTATGTTTATTTCAAAACTTCTTGGGGCGCCTGGGTGGCTCGGTTGGTTAAGTGTCCGAGTCTTGGTTTCAGCTCAGGTCATGATATCGCAGTTTCGTGAGTTCCTGTCCCACGTCGGGTTCTGTGCTGGCAGCGCTGAGCCTGCTTGGGATTCTCTCTCCCTCTCTCCCTGTCTCCCTGTCTCCCTCTCTCTCTCCCTCTCTCTCTCTCTCTCT